ATGTAGATCATATGAGGAACCTGGGAAATGAAGAGAGCTTGAAAATATCAGTATAGGGGTAAGATACAGATCCGCTACTAGGATTTACGGTGAATGGGGGGGGGGGGGGGGTATAGGCATACACATTTTTGATCCACCTTCAATTCAATCAATAGGCATAAAGTACATAGATTTCACTAAACTGTCGCATTCAATTTTAGCAATGTTTTCATGCATTAAAGTGATTGCGATCGATTGCGTTCGCAAGTGCACGCATATGCGCGCGGTCAACTGTGATGTGAATATATTTCACTTTAAAAGTCCCCCCAAAAGACCCGCCGCAACTCTAAATAATTTTTTGAAAAAGAGATAACGTCTAATATATTTTTTCGCCACCGATTAGTTTTTACTTTGAGATTCCCGCCGCAACTTAAATCATCTTTTAAAAAATAGAAAATATTGCGTCATAAAAGATAACAAGTCCGCCAATTTGATTTTGGTTTAGAGAGTTCGAAAAGGATCCACCTTCAATTTAATCAACTAGCCTAAAGAAAGATAACATAGTTTTCACTAAACTGTCGCATTCAATTTTAGCAATGTTTTCATGCATTAAAGTGATTGCGATCGATTGCGTTCGCAAGTGCACGCATATGCACGCGATCAACTTACTGTGACGTGAATACATATATATTCCACTTTAAAAGTCCCCCCAATAGACCCGCCGCAAATTAAATCATTTTTTGAAAAAGAGACAAATATTGCGTCATAAAAGATAATAAGTCCGCCCATTCGATTTTGGTTTAGAGAGTTCGAAAAGGATCCACCTTCAATTTAATACAAAATAGGGCATGGGTGTCGATCCCGGGGGGGGGGGTATATCCCCCCCCCCCCCCCAATATTTCAGGTGGGGGTGGCCTGTACATTACCATCAAAAAAAAAAATGAAGAGAAAAATTAATGAGAGCCCGATGAGAGTAGTTAACGGTTATTACTCGCAAGATGACCATCAATATACACATTTTGCTATCTCATTTTCATGATACATACGCAAATGAGACAACCGTATATGAGACAAGAATAAATTGAATTTTCGCTCATACGGCTTCATCAGGAATTGATGAATTTATTCAATTTATTCAATCTAAAAGCTAAATGTTAAGCGCGAAGCGCAAAAGTGCAAAAAAAGAAGTAGAGAGTAGGAATAAGAAACAGAGAGGATACAGGCGCGTAGCCATGGGGGTGTGTGGCGGTGGGGGCGGTCGCCCGCCCCCCCCCCCCAAAAAAAAGAGAGAGAGAGAGAGAGAGAGAGAGAAAGAAGAAAGGAAGAGGACGTAAGAAGAAAAAGGATTAAGAGTCGAGAACGGTACAACGAATCGCCTTCTTTCTCTAATAATTGAACGAAACATCAAAGCTTCCGCGCTTTGTGCGGGAAGGGGGGGGGGGAGACTAAATTCAGTCAAGGATTAAGAGTCGAGAACGGTACAACGAATCGCCTTCTTTCTCTAATAATTGAACGAAACATCAAAGCTTCCGCGCTTTGTGCGGGAAGGGGGGGAGACTAAATTCAGTCAAGGATTAAGAGTCGAGAACGGTACAACGAATCCTCTTCTTTCTCTAATAATTTAATGAAACGCAAAAGCTTCCACGCTTCGCGCGGGAAGGGGGGGGGGGGACTGAATTCAGTCAAGGATAAAGAGTCGAGAATGGTAAAACAAAACGTTTTCTTTCTTTAATAATTTAATGAAACGTCAGAGTTTCCACGCTATGCACGGAGGTATTGGAACTTGATTCAAACAAGGATTAAGAGTCGAGAATGGTACAACGAAACGTCTTATTTCTTTAATAATTTAATGAAACGCCAAAGTAAACTGAATTTAGACAAGGATTAAGAGTAGAAAACTGTACAACGATCGCCTTCTTTCTCTTATAATTTAATGAAACGTCAAAGCTTCCGCGCTTCGCGCAGGAAGGGGGGGGGAAGAAACTGAATTCAGTCAAGGATAAAGAATCCAGAATGGTACAACGAAACGTCTTCTTTCTTTCATAAATTAATGAAACGTCGGAGTTTCCGCGCTATGCGCGGAGGAATTGGAACTTGATTCAAACAAGGATTAAGAGTCGAGAATGGTACAACGAATCGTCTTCTTTCTCTAATAATTTAACGAAACGCCAAAGCTTCCGCGCTTTGCGCGGGAAGGGGGGGGGGGGAGAAACTAAATTCAGTCAAGGATAAAGAGTCGAGAATGGTACAACGAAACGTCTTCTCTCTTTAAAAATTAATGAAACGCCAAAGGAAACTGAATTTAGACAAGGATTAAGAGTCGGGAACGGTACAACGAATCGCCTTCTTTCTCTATTACTGAAACGTCAAAGCTTTCGCGTTTCGCTCGGGAAGGGGGGGGGGGAGGAACTGAATTCATAATATTGAGTAAGAGTCGAGAATGGTACAACTAAACGTCTTCTTTCTTTAATAATTTAATGAAACTTCACAGTTTCCGCGCTATATGCGCGGAGGAATTGGAACTTGATTCAAACAAGGATTAAGAGTCGAAAACGGTACAACGAATCGCCTTCTTTCTCTTATAATTTAATGAAATAACAAAGCTTCCGCGCTTCGCGCGGGAAGGGGGGGGGGGGATGGGGGAACTGAATTCAGACAAGGATTAAGAGTCGAGAATGGTACAACGAATCGTCTTCTTTCTTTAATAATTTAATGAAACGTCAAAAAAAACTGAATCTAGACAAGGATTAAGAGTCGAGAATGGTACAACGAATCGTCTTCTTTCTTTAACAATTTAATGAAACGTCCGAGCTTCCGCGCTACGCGGTAAGATACAGATCCGCTACTAGTATTTCATGTGAATGGGGGGTATAGAAATACAATTTTTTGACCCACCTTCAATTCAATCAATAGGCATAAAGTAGGATAACATAGTTTTTACTTAACTGTCGCATTCAATTTTAGCAATGTTTTCATGCATTAAAGTGATTACGATCAATTGCGTTCGCAAGTGCACGCATATGCGCGCGATCAACTGTGATGTGAATATATTTCACTTTAAAAGTCCCCCCAAAAAACCCGCCGCAACTTATAATCATTTTTGAAAAAGAGAAAATATTGCGTCATATAAGATAATAAGTCCGCCAATTTGATTTTGGTTTAGAGAGTTTGAAAAGGATCCACCTTCAATTTAATCAACATGCCTAAAGAAAGATAACATAGTTTTCACTAAACTGTCGCATTCAATTTTAGCAATGTTTCCATGCATTACTGATTGCGATCGATTGTGTTCGGAAGTGCGCGCAGTCAACTGTGAGGTGAATAGATTTCACTTTAAAAGTTTCCCAAAAGACCTGCCGCAACTTAAATCATTTTTTGAAAAAGAGATAGCGTCTAATATATTTTTTCTCCGCCGATTAGTTATCACTTTGAGGTTCCCCCGCAACTTAAATCGTCTTTTGAAAAATAGATAAATATTGCGTTTTATAAGATAGCAAGTCTACCGATTAATTTGGTTTAGCGAATTCAAAAAGGATCCACTTACAATTTAATCAATATGCCTAAAGAAAGATAACATAGATTTCACTAAACTGTCGCATTCAATTTTAGCAATGTTTTCCATGCATTAAAGTTAGTGATTGCGATCGCAAGTGCACGCATATGCGCGCGATCAACTGCCACGTGAATAGTTTTCACTTTAAAATTCCCCAAAAGACCCACCGCAACTTGAATCTTTTTTCCAAAAAAAATAGAGTGATATTGTCTAACATTATTTTTTCGTAACCGACTAGTTTTCACTTTCATATTCCCGCCGCAACTTAAATCATCTTATGAAAAATAGAAAGGTATTGCGTCTGATAAGATAACAAGCCCACCAATTTAATTGTGGTTTAGAGAGTTCGAAAAGGATCCACCTTCAATTTAATCAACTAGCCTAAAGAAAGATAACCTAGTATTCACTTAAGTGCCACATTCAATTTAGCAATTCCATGCATTAAAGTGATTGCTATCGCAAGTGCACGCATAATTATGCGCGCGATCAACTGTCACGTGAATAGTTTTCACTTTAAAATTCCCCCAAAAGACCCGCCGCAACTTAAATCGTTTTTTGGAAAAAGAGACAAATATTGCGTCATAAAAGAAAATAAGTTCGCCGATTTCATTTTGGTTTAGATATTTTGAAAAGGATCCGCCTTCAATTTAATAAAAATAGAAAGATAACGTCTAATACATTTTTGTCCGCCGATTAGTTTCCCGCCGAAACTTAAATCGTCTCTTGAAAAATAGTATTGCGTCTGATAAGATAACAAGTCCACCTATTTAATTTTGGTTTAGCGAATTACAAAAGGAACCGCCTTAAATTCAATCGAAATTGAAAGATAACGTCTAATATATTTTTTTCACCGCCGATTAGTTATCACTTTGAGGTTCCCGCCGCAACTTAAATCGTCTTTTGAAAAAATAGATAAATATTGCGTCTCATTAGATAACAAGTCTACCGATTTAATTTTGGTTTAGCGAATTCAAAAGTCATCCACCTTTAATTTAGTCAAAAAATGAACGTCTAATATATTTTTCCCCGCCGATTAGATTTCACTTTGAGATTCCCGCCGCAACATTATGCGTAAGTAGCAACAATAACTGACTAAAATAAAAAAAGCAAACTATCGCCAACAGAGGGCGACATTTCATACGGAAGGACTGCATTACATTTTAGCAATGTTTTCCACGCACTAAGCTGATCGCGATCAATCGCGTTCGCGCGCAAGTGCACGCGTATGCGCGCGATCCACTGTGACGTTGATCGCAGGCGGAACTGTATGTGATTTCAAGTATTCCACAATTATATAACCAAATTGTTGTACTGCCACATTATATATTGCATTGTATATTTACTCAGGATTGTTGTGTGCCATATTATATTCAATTTTGTGTTTGTTTAACATGTATATGCCTCATTTTCTAAAATAGTATTCCTCCTTCTCTCTCCTCTCTCTTCCCTAACATCCTAATATCCCCAGGTCGCTAACTCCCTATCCCAAACCTTTAGTTTTAAATTCATGCGATCCCCCTCTGTATCACCCACTAAGCCCCGCCCATCATCCACTACCCACCACACCCCTCCCTCACATGACGCTGTGACGGTCGAGGGAGATAATGCACAGCCTGTGGTACGGAAGGTAAGTTTCTTGTATGCAATGTTTCTTGCCACAAAGCAGAATGTATGGTTATAATCCAGGCAGAAATATTTGAAGGAAAAAAACTTTGGAGGCCTTTACTATGTGTATTCAGTGCATGGGCTACTAAATATATCATATCTGTAATGAGAAAGGAAGAATGTCTGGTCAGTGTAAGTTTTTCCTTGAAATTTATAACATAAATAAAAATGCATGCATGCATGCTAATGAGTTTTCTGCTTTGAACAAATTTGATGTGTGTGATATTTTTTTGAAAAAAGGATACTCTCTAAGTAATATCTCAAGAATGTCTTTTGTGTTATATTTTTTGTAATTATTTTGATTAACTTTGGCAAGGGATGCTATTAGTATTGAATGTACTGTTGCACCTTAATCTTGCTTGTTACCCAAACTTCTCAGGCTTGCATTTACCTTCTCCATTGGGTGTTCTAATAGTAGTAGATATTATAGGATTACATATTGAACTTAGGACTTATCTATCACAAGGTCCAATCTGTTGTATAAACAGATTCCTGTCCAAAAGATTAAGACCCTGAAATTTGTACCATTAGACCTAGACCATTTGATTACCAACGACCCTTCCCTGCTATTTTCTTTTATAGAAAACTACACCATTACCAAGTAAGATACCTGTATCAAGTGCCAGAGTGAACCAACCCTCAGCATCTACAATGGAGGAGGTTGCACCTATCCCTGAGAGCTCCCCAAGGAAGCGACACCAGGAGACAGCAGATGAGCAGAAGCAGATGGCCTCATCAACAGACAAAGGCTTCAAGATGCCTTCGGGGATACCTGTTCGCAAGAACCAGAAGCTGTCTTCCATCAAACCTGTTCAGACGAGCACACCAAACTCAAAGCAGAAGCAAAGCTCTGAGAGGAATGAGCAAAGGATTGATGTTGGAGTTGAACAGCACGATGTAGAGGATGATGGGAAAACGATGCATTCCGGAGGGGTTGCTAGGCGAGAGATAGAGCAACATGGACAAAGAGGAATGCAGGGAGTTTCTGATGATCAAAGTAGAACCAAAGAAGCTGATGCCAGAGTTGAGCTAGATCTTTCAGATATTGAACAAGAAGATGAGGTGAACAAGGAAGAGCAGGAGAAAGGGATGAAAGATGATGTTGCTATGGGAGACAAAACCAAATCAGTAGGGAAATCAACAAATGCAAGGATGCAGGATAATGAACAAATCATCAGGACAGAGAAAAAGGCCATCAGAGCTGAGGCGGTAAACAGTATAGAAGGCCGAAGATTGAGGGAAGATAAAAAAAGTGAAGATCATGAGGAAGAGGGGACAAAAGAACGAGAGAAAGTAGAAGTGAAAGTAAGCAGCAGAATCTGTGCCTTTGCTAGAGAAGATGGGGATGGTGAAAGAGCTATTGAAGAACAAGCCACTAAAGGGAGTAGAACTCAAGATGATGATAGGAAAATGAAGGAGACAGAGTCCTCTGTGGAGAAATCTTCCCTGCTGAGACGAGGTAAGCAGGTTCATATTTTTGTTTATATGCCTCCGTTACGAAGTAGCCGGGTTATCCGTCCGTCTATACGTACGTACGTACGTTCTCGTGATCGCGTTATCTGAAGAATCGATTGATGGATTCCTGCCAAACTTTGGTCATGTATGTATCTTGCAGAGCCAATGAACTGATTAGATTTTGGGGTCAAAGGTCACAGGGATCATTATGTATGCAAAAACAGCTCGTGATCACGTTATTTCAAGAACCAATTGATGGATTCCTGCAAAACTTAGGTCATGTTTGTTACTTGCAGAGCTGATGAACTGATTAGATTTTGGGGTCACGAGGTCAAAGGTCACAGCGCACATTATGTATGCAAAAACAGCTTTTGATCACGTTATCTCAAGAACTGTTTGATGGATTCCTGCCAAACTTAGGTCATGTATGTTACTTGCAGAGCTGATGAACTGATTACATTTTGGGGTCATGAGGTCAAGGTCAAAGGTCATGCGGCTCATTATGTATGCAAAAATAGCTTGTGATCGTATTATCATTAGAACAGATTGATGGATTCCTGCCAAACTTAGATCATTTATGTATCTTACAGAGCCAATGAACTGAGTAGATTCTTGGTTCATAAGGTCAAAGGTCATGGGCTCATTATGTATGCAAAAATAGCTTGTGAACGCATTCTCAATAGAACTGACAGATGGATTACTATTTAACTCAGGACGTCTTGCAGAGCCAATGAACTGAGTAGATTTTAGGGTAATGAGGTCCAAGATCAAAGGGTCATATATGTATATGAGAAATTGCTTGTAATCACGATATTCTGAGAACCTGTTAATGGATTACAACTGAACTTGCATTTGAAAAATTTCTTCTGTTTTGGTTTGTAAAATTGCTCTATGACGGAGGCATCATTTTCGACTGAGCGCAGTTGAAGTTCCATCTTGTTTTGTTTGTTTGTTTTACCTGACTTCTATGACAGCATGTGTATTCTTGTCAGTAAGCAACCAGGGAGCTGACTGCTTTAAGTCCTTTCCGAGTGACTTGGAAATGAGGATTAATGCCTTACCAAAAGATGCTAGCGCATCAACTTGGTTTCGAACCCGGGACCTCCCGGTTCCAAGATCACTGCTTTACCACTGAGCCATCGTGCCTCCCTCATTGTCTCAATATTTGTTATTTGTTCTTCATCATAATTCTCTTTCTTTAAGGAAACTAGATTATGTCATTCTATAAAACTGAATGTTCAAATATTCACTCTGAATACGGTATGCTGGCCCTGGATCTACAAGTTCTGAAATTTCATGTACACAGGGCATTCTTAAAAATACAGTAGCAAACACTCTTTCAGGTTGCATCAGCAGAGCTTTGAAACAAATTGCCAGGATATAGAACATGTCTTCAAATGTTTCTTTGTTGAAACAATTTCCAATGTTAAATGATGATTTACGGAAGTATGCTGAGCGTATTTCACCCTCCTCTATTCTTTCCTTCTTTCCCAGCGCATAGAAAAAATATTTGTGATATGTTCGATATAAGTATGGTTTATTATTTTTAGTATCATTAAACTAGGTTTCTCCTTTATGTTGCAGAAACCTGAAGATGGTAAAGAAAGAGTCTAGATATTCATGTCTTTGTACTTTTTTCCTAGAATATTGTTGAGCCTTGATGATAACTTTCATTCTATGCAGGTGAAGAACTGTCATTCATGATCCCCAAAGGTTTGGATCTGTCTGGTAGCCGCGGTGATGAGCTACTCTCCATGTTAGAAGCAATTGGTACTGAGGGAAAACAGCTCAGACAAGAACTCAATGAAGCTAAAGCAAGGGAAGACTTCTTGACCAAAAAGGTATTGTGAGCAATTAATTTCTTTTATTTAATCTTGGACTACGAACATGTGATTTTCTTTTCTATTTTTAATTTAAAATGTTTTTTGTCTTTAACCAGCACATGTAGTTAGTATCTATGTAGTATTTATGTAGAGGTGGTGTGGTCTAGTGGGTCAGTCACCAGACTGTAGATCACAAGTTTCAGGGTTCAACTCTCAGCCCAGCACTAACGTCATTTGTTAATCTACATTTGTCACTCTTCACCCAGGTGTTAATGGGTACCTGTGCAATGTCTAAGCACCATTAGCATCACAGCATAACATATATGAGCGCTTTATAAAGTGGCCATTATTATTATGGATAGTTGTTATTAAAAATATAAGTTTACCTAGTTTTGTAGATATTTGGCATTCCGATCTCATTCTTATTCCAAGCTTTGAGATAGCAATGTGTAGAATTGGAATATTTTTTTTTAGTTTGATGAATTTTTTAAAGATACAGAAGATATTTTTTTTTAATTTCTGCAAACTCATCATGTACATGTTAGTGTATGGCACTGTATGCTCACACTCTACTTTTATTGCACAGCTACTGTATGAAAAATAGTCTGACTCATGCGTTATTTACTGTTGCCTACTGTGTATGAGTAATCTCCAGCTGTCATTTGCATCATAAATCATAAATCACCATAATCTTAGAAGTAATACAGTGTAGGTAACCATGGTGATCAGATTTTATGAATTTTCAACAGCTTTAGTGATATCCTTCACAGTGACGCATGATTCATGTCACTTGACTTCAATTCATCAATTATTTTTGACTGGTCTTTGACCTTTCAGAAACGTCCACATGTCTGTTTGTGACTCACTGATTGGACTCTTGTAAGGATTCCTCTTGTGAGCAGGCCTGTAATTAGAGAAAATGTCTTTAATGTCACAAAGCAGATGTTTGTTTTTTCCAGAACTGATATTTTCTCATGATGATCTTTTACAAGTGATTTTGATGCTCGTGATATGTACATGTAACAGTAAAGACTTTTGATAATATATGATTCTCTACTCCTGAGGACAGTATTTGTTGCAACAGCAGTTTTGGATCCTATGTATTCTATTTAAAGTTGAATTGGGCTTGTATTGTGAGTCGTCGCAAATTGTTTGTAAAGGTTGATAAAGGAGATGTTTGGCCTTTCAGGAACTGAACCCTTTCTGTTGATTATCTTTTACACATGAACTTGATGCTGGTGAAGTGGTGATGAATACATATAACAAGAGAGGACCTATTTTGGACGTATCATTTTCCACCCTTGAGGATACGATTTCTTGTAATAGCAAGTTATTGAATCCCTGTCCTGACTCATCTGACACGACTTGAGAACATTTTCATAAAGAAATTATTTGACCCAGCCAGAACTGAACCTTTCTCTATATCACATTTCATTTTTTAGCTGAACGAGAGATTTTCCAGTCACGAAGAGGAGGTCATTAATCGTTTGGTAGGAGAGTTAGAGATGTTAAGAAGAGAGAACCAGAGGCTCTTCAAAGAGTTGGCAAGAGCTAGAGAGTCTGGAGCTGAAGATAGGAAACGCTGTGAGAATTTACAGGTAGGCACACTCTGGCAGGACTTGACACTGTTGAGATGAGGATTTTGTATAAAAGGGCAAGTCCAGGATGAAAATTGTATTTATCCCAGACAAGTTTGATATTAATTTGAAAATTAAGAGTGTCATTGATTTTACTTTAAAAAACACATATATTAGGCGTTTTAAACCTGTAGTACAACTGTAAACGTAATGTGTTCATCAAATAAATTTCATTATAGTTTATTTGATGAATCTGATTTCATTTGTTATGTATGAGACATCATGTGCACATCTTATTTATCTAGAAGACAAAATTGGCAGTGTTTCCAACAAAAATGAAAGCCTGCACAAGGACAACTAATGAAAAAGCAAAGGTGTCCAACCTTTCATCCGCAAAATATCTTTACACATGTCTTAAAGGTATTAGGTAACTTTGCCCTGCTTCTAAACAAAATACTGGATTCAGCTCATGCTGCAATCATAATTATAAACCTTTAGGTCAGAAATGAATCTCATGACTTTTACAAGCCAATCGCATGTTTGATTATCCAGATATTTATAATTGGAAATTGAAATTTGAAAAACTGTTTTCCCAACAGTTTTTATTACACTACAGTCTATCAGGGAAAATGGGTATGGTAAAACTGGTCACTCAAAGATTTTTTACTTTTTTGAAGCACTGCATGATCATTTTGAAGTGCAATTTTTTTAGGGCTTCAATATTGCACCATATCACAGACACTGATAACACGTACGGCCACGCATCTCAGATTTGTAAAACTGGAAACACTGTTAAACAATGCCTTTAAACACAGTATGTGGTCCAACAAAGACCTACCAGAAAGTGCAGAAACTATTCTATAGCGATTTGTTTTGTTTGTGTATCCAGGCTGCTGTAGAGAGGCTGGAGATGGATGTAGAGAGATTGACCGCTGAGAACTTTCGCCTCAAGTTTGCTGCGGACACCGGTTACCAGGTGACTGGAGATGACCTCTTGGCTGCTATGTCAGGTAATAAACTTTGACGACCTTGTAATGCTATTATCATGAATTAAGTGAAATACATCACATTGTTTGAAATAAGAAGGAATGTTTTGATGATATTGTCGCATGATTTCAGGTTTTGAGTTCCAATATAATGCACATGCAATGTAACATGTAATGTGCTGGCAAGCCAGAATCTGATGACCAGGGTAATAATATATATCTGTAAAGCTCTTTGAGAGGGTCTGCAGTCCTGAAAAGTGCTATATAAGAACAAATTACTATTATTATATTATTACATGCATCAAAATTTAGTGAAAAGAATACCAGACTGGTAAGGCTAAGAATCAACTTCAAAACATCAATATGTCAGTCCTGTCTATTTAGCCTCGTTTAAGTATTAAATTAAAAGTATGGACATGTTGCCTTCAAGAAAGGTTTAACAGTATACTTTTTTTCAATGGCTATAGCAAAATTGATTTCTAAAGACAAAATGTTCTGTATAGAATGATGAATTCGAGATTGTTATAATAGGATGGTGTTCAAAATTCTTTATGTTATATTTATTTTATACATTTGCTTTCCCATGCAGAGGCAGATACAGGCTTCCAGTCCTTGCCATCCCCAGGAAAGGAGTTTAGCCATCCAGACTTCAAGGAGTCTGTTCCCTCTCCCATCCTAGAGGCCCAATCAGTGCATGAGACCAGACTCCTTGCCATGAAGACAGAGACAGAGAGCATGCGCAAACTACAGGAGCTGCTCACCAAAGCTCATACAGAGAACCGTCGACTGAAAGCCCTTCACCAGAATCCCGAGAGCAACACTGACCATGAGGCAGCAATGGCGAAGGTCAAGGCAGAGCTGGGTCTGGCCCAGGTGGAGGGTGAGAGATTGAGAGAGGAGAGGGCGCAACTGAAGAAGGAGGTTAAAGAGGGTAGACAGCAGACTAAGGAGCAGATGCAGAAATACAAGGAGTTGGAGGCGATAATGGTGAAGTACTCCAGAGAGGAAAGGGAATCTCAAAGGGATGCTGTAGGTCATGGTGTTGATGGGACACAAGGCTATGAGCAAATCCATGAAGGCAAGAGCACTGACATGAGGAAGAGTTCACAAAGTAGCAGTGGACAATCTCAACAAAATGTAAGAAAATATTTAACGGAGACCTTCAGTTATAAGCCTGAAGCAGTGAATAAGAGTAATAGCACATCAAGTGAGAAATCAGTGAATGTCACAAGAACTGCAAGTGAAGGTATCCGTAAAAACATTTATTCCAAGTCTGCTGATGATAATTTGCAGGATCGCGATAGTCGGGTACTAGACTCTGATGAGAATATGGGGAAGATTGATGTAAAGGCCACAGTTCCAAAAGATCAGCAAGTTTCAACGGCTTTTGTGGTGAAGAATGATGGTAGAGGATATAAGCAGGAATTACCAAGATCAAAGGATCCATTGGCATTGCCTTTAACATCTGCTTATGCAGGAAGCGATAGAGCAATGAGCACAGATGGGGAAAATGACAAGCAGAAAGCTCAGAATAACCCAGTAGGAACACCTGAAGCGGTTGTTGACTGGAAATACCTTGCCATGAGCCCCAGCCCAGACAATGAGATGAGGACCATCGCGCAGTACGTTGCTCGTCCATCCGATCTTGAGACAGCTTCTGAGATTGAGAGCGAGACAGAGTCAAGAACCAGTGATCTGTTCATGTCAAGCAATGTGTCCTCACCCATAGGCAGGTTGTTGTCTACTCAAGATAGAAGATCAAGCCTTGGTGGATTGATTGTAGCTAGGGCGCAAACGTCCCCTGCAGATGATCAGGAGCACAGTTCTGTCTTCCCTGAAGATTCTCAAATCAAAGATGACACCCTGATAGATGAGTCCTACCTGAAAACAAGCCAGGCCTATATCACTGCTGATGAGAATTCTGTGGGAAGGACCTCAGCCATAAAGCAAGGGAATGTCACGTATGATGCAACAGATTCCAGCAAACCAGTACTAAAGGAAGAAGGCCTTACACCTTACTATACATCCATGGTGCAGCGGAACAAGCTACAATTCTCATCACTATCATCAAGCCTTGAGTCGCTGAGGAGCATCTCACGCAAAGCCAGGGATGACATTGATGCAGAGGGTTCCAATATTGACTCGGTGTCAAAGAAAGAAGCTCCAAAGATGGAACAAAATGTGCCTACGCTTGAGGTAGAAAGAAAATGGATTCAGGAAGAACTCGGAAGGATACGTCTTGACAATAACATTCCTGGAGAGAAATATTCAGATTTAGGAAGGAGGTCTAGTGCTGATAAACAGTTTGGATCTACAATGTTATCATCCAGTAGAGAGGATTTGCAGTTCATGCCACCGAGGAATGTACCACGCTGGCGAAAATTTCAGTTTAGGAGTAGGTCATCTAGGTTCTCAGAAGCATCACAGCAGGCATCATCCTATCAGTCTACTGTTCTTTCCAACGGTGCAGACTTCAGAAGAAGTCCTACTAGGACTGTCAGTTTGACTAGACTGAATGTGAGTGATGGGGCAGGGGATGACTCGGTGAAGACTTCTCCAACGTATGGTTTGAAGACATCTCCAACCTACAGGTCGAAGACATCTCCAGAAAGATCCTTTCTCCAACATGCAGTTGCCCCATTAAGGAGCAGCAGTGATGACATGTCAGATGAATTCAAGCCGCTCCCTAATGAATTGCGGAAACCTCACATATTGACTGAACGTACACCTGTGAAACCCAACAAAGGGACTGTACCAAGTCAGAGAGCTGATCCTTTGCCTGTAAGGAGCTTACCCCCTACCCATCCAATTAATGCAGGCAGTGACAAACAAAGGGAACCGACAAATGCTTCATCTTCAAGTAGGAATGAACATCTCCCTGTTGCAAAAGGGAACATTAGTGAAGACAAAACTTTTAGTGATCCCTCCATTCTACCTGTTTTGCCTGATAGTGCCAGTCCTCCTAAATCTAGAGAATTGTCTAGCGGTGCTACAGGCACTGACAACCATGTCACTTCATACAGTGCTTACAGGATTAGTACTACTACCTTAGGGGAAGGTCCCTCCATTCCTCAACACACAAAGACATCAAGCCATTCACCTCATACCACGCTGCTACCAAGTCCCCCTCAGAGAACAGACATCTTTGTGAGTCAGCCGATATCTGACCTTCCAAAATCCTACCCTGACAAAACTGGTGGCAGCGGTGGGATATCTTCAACTTTGACCCCGGATGACCTTGATACTTTGGCTGAGAAGATCATCCAGGAGGCTGACTCTGGTGTCTCATTGACGAGCAGCTTGGACATCAGGAATGGGTTGCCCAAGAGCATGTACGAGCATAGGCTGTTGTCCCGGGACGAGCAGACATATGCCAATTCGTTGATAGCCAAGTACATTGATAATTCACCCGACAAGTTTTGAAGAGTTGAAACGAAGAATGATAATGTCTCGCTACGTGACAGCCTTACAGCTACATTTATTAGATTCAAGTACACTATGTGTGCCATTTTGGAAATCTGTGATACTTTTATTTTGAGGTGCATTGTCGAGCGTGAGATTGTGCAAAGGGCTGAATAATTTTGCTCAAATCACTTTTTTTTAATATCATAGATGAAAGGCTGTTTTTTTTCTGAACTGATTCAATCATAAGCAATCTTTGCCTTTGAACGTGTTGAACCAATATCAATGCAGTGTTGAAAGTTTTGAACAGAAAGCAATCTATCACTAATGAATGAGATTATATTACAGTATTTTTAGCAATCTTTTATGTGGTACACTGTATTAAGTTTACCATTAATTATTTTTGTATTCCTTTTTTTTACCCTGCTAAGTATTATTTCAAAACTTTTTAGAGCAAATTTCTGTGTGCTGTTCATTTATAACATTCCTTATTTTATTTATTTATATATGTAAATGCCTTTACATGTAAAATTGAATCTTGTAGATACTAAAACAATGCTGGTGTACAGATATTTTTTGAAAGATAATGATGGAGTTACAATATATATTTTGTATTAGGTTTGTACAAATAGACTTTAATTACTAAGTCAGTGTAATACAAAATGAGGCAAACAAATTTCCAAAGATTTTTGATAAATTTGAAACATTCTTTGCATAAATGTGCAAAGAGGAGATGAGAATGGCTTACCATGCGGTTTGCTGATAAGGCAAGGTGCTTTAGTATAATTTGCCTAATAGCATAAGGAAAGAAATATTGAAAGAATTTTAACTGTTGTTAAACAAATAATGTGAATAATTTGTACAGATCACTAATCCTGCTAAAATGAAACATAGCATTCTTTTAACAATACTTAAAAGATTAAACTACATGTACAAGGTTTATAGAAGTTCATAACAATCCTTGTGTTTTCACACCCCTAAATAAATAGTTATACCATGGAAGACTCTGAGACAATATATCATTTTGGGATTTGTCTGATGCCTTTGTCATAAATGTACATAGACACTACAGCAATTATGCACTTATAATTCAAAGATGGACAAAGGTAAAATTTGCATATGTGATTTCTATTTTTTTTTAATGAGAATATATGGCCACAAGGCACTTGCCAGAATTGTCACATTGAACAAATACTGGGTTGCAAGGTTTTTCTTAATGTATTTGAATTTGTTTTATAATTGTATATTTGTTACACAAGGGAAAAGAGTTTGTGCAATTACTTATATGTAGGGGCTGATTCCGTCTTGTGTATTCTTTTAGATTTAGATTTCCTTTGCAGCTTTTTTTTCCCCAATTTTTATTTGACATGGTACATGTAATATTCCTATCAATAATGTTGAGGTGTTGTGGTCCTATGGATAAGTCTCTCAACTGTGAACCATAAGGTTCTGGGTTTGAATCCCTGTCGCAGCACTAATGTCCTTTGGGAAGACACTCCACCAAACTGAGTTAAATGGGTACCTAGCAGGAATTGATTTCTTGAAATGCTAGAGCACTGTAATGGCAGCCATCCAGGGTAGTAATAATGGAGTGCCAGGAGTGGCAATGTGCTAGACACTTGTTGTTATTATTATTTATATTCATTTTTTATACTTTTTACCAGGGCTAAAATCTCCAGAGCTAATTCAGTCACTTTTTCTTAGTATTTTTTTTCCCTTTTCATTGGTCTTTTGCAGACTTCCGCCATAACATATTTTTAGAAGAAAATGACAGTTCAGTCTCCTAATAGAGGGGTGAAGCGTGACGTCATCAAAAATCTATTTTAGAATTTCTCAATTTTTCCTTCATTTTCAGAAAGAGCAAACAAAATAATGTCAAAATATCGAAACCAATTGAATATGTAAAGTATTGGCTGAGATATGACCATCTGAATTAATATATTTCCTACACCATTAGAAGCCAGAGCATATAACACTGAGTTCCTATAGGAAACATATTCATTCAGATGGTCATATCTCAGCTAATGCTTAACATATTCAATTGGTTTTCGAAATTTGGACATTATTTTTGATGTTCTTTTGGAAAATGAAATAAAAATTGAGAAATTCTAAAAATAGATTTTTATGACGTCACAGCTTCGGTACTCTATACTTGAAGTGATCCTCTTTTGTAAATGCATTTTGAACACTGCATCATTCAGGCTATGTTTTTTAATATTAAGTAGAATATATTTGTTGTAGATATGGGTGAGTTATGTAGATGAAACAGCTGATGGGCTGAGAGTGTGTTATCTAGCTATATGTAAGTTAATATCAGAATAATTTGGTTTTCATTGTGCAACTGCATGTCTGCTTTTGCACACATAAATATGTTACTAACTGCTAAAAATCTTTAATTATGAAAGTTAAAAATATGCTTATTGACACTAATTAGCACAAAAAAATAATGCACATTTAAACAAAATTACACATACAGTGTATATAATCATACTGCAGAGTGTTAAAAAACTTCCTTGTATTAAGTTAGTGTGCATAAACCTTGCATTAGTTGAACATAAAACAAAGTACAGTTGCACTTGTTGGAAAGAAAATAATATGTACTCTGCACAGACTAATATTGACCTTTAAAGTGTTGTGAACATACACTGGACCATAACTTTTTTGTATATTAACATTGCACATGATTTGAATTAAATATATTTAAGTTCACCTAACCCTAAGAACACATTATTTTATTTTACTTATATTGCATTATACTGTGTAGTTACTTTAATGTTTGTGCTTGTATAAACTTATACACAATATGCAAATATCTCTCAGTCAATCATAAGATATAATTTATAATGTGGTGTCATTGTGCTGCAAACTTACCATTTGATATGGAATGCTAATTTACTTAATACCGTGTAATTTACATCTTTCAAGGATTGTGCTGCTAAATTTGACTGAAGTAACCTTTAATGCTCAATACTTAAATCTTGTAGTTTTTAATTTATGCACAGCCAATGTGTATTACTCAAGCTTTTGTATTCACCAGTTTTTCTCTTTATAAATAATTGACATTTTGTGATTTTGTTTATTTTGCATTGCACGCTGAATGTCTGTAGGTGTCATATCCCGCTGAATAGTTATAGCGATGAACAAAGAGTTTTGGCTAAAAATAATCTACTAAGTGTTTCCTGGAATGGAAACAGGTTGTATCTTGTGAATTTTAAATCACAATTCTGATGCAGCAACGAAACAAAGCATTTAAAGTGTATCAATCACCAACAAATATTTTGTTCTGTATGTTAGCAGTTCCATGTCATTATACTTTATTTAAAATATCAGCTTATAACATTACTTTGGTAAAGAGAATGCAAGTTCAAATACTTTCTCAATTAACATAAAAGCTACCTGTGAGGAGACTTCTTGTGGCACCCATATTCGCTTGCATAAACTAGGGCCTGCATGGAATCCAAGTCCAACTTTGGTTACGTGTGCACAGTTTTATGTTATTTATACTCTTTCTCGTTATCCAATAGAATGCCTGATGAAGTTTTTTTAAAAGTTGATTTTATACATTCTAGCTGTATACAATTTTTGCAGGTGATTGGTACTCTTGAACATCAAAATGTGTTTATGAACATTTTTTTTAAACTTGATTGCACAGAAGGGGTTAAATTTCAAAGCACTTTTAGAAATGCTTCATTGAGGTTCAATAACCCAGTGTAATGACGAGGCTTCCTCTGTTGTGCCATTTTGTTTTTACAGTTTCCATAGTAGCTGTACCCCTCATGAAGAGTTCAGTCTCTGGAAAGCTCCCCTTGCAGTTTTAATAAATATGGGTACCAGGATGAAACACATGCAGTTCAATACACGTACCATTTATCTACAATACACCAGGGGAGTGTTTCACAAAGACTAAGACCGACTTTAAGTTGGACTTAACTATGGCAGGCCATTGTTTGCTCTCATCAGTTACTGGCATTGGTCTCTCAAAGGACGTACAAATCGTGGTCACAAATCTACAGAATTTAACTTTTTTGATAGTTCATTCTTGAAGGATTTGTTTTAATCTAAAGATCAAAATTGAGAGACCAATGGTAAGAGCAACCAGTGGCATGAATTGCCTGCTATAGTTAAGTACAACTTAAAGTTGATCTTTGTCTTTGTGAAACCCCTCCAGATATACATGCAGTATGCACTTTGCAGGCAAAAGCCCTTATCAGTGAGGATTGTGTAGCGCAGGGTCTGTTTAGTAAGACTTTAGACTACCGTACACCATTTTGGCCCTGTGCTGTTTGACACATTAGTCTTCACTCTAGACACTCTATGTCGTTGAAACGTCAAATTAGAGTGTATGAAGCAGACTACTCTAATACATGAACATTGATAATGATTTACTTGTCCATTTTCACTGCATATACAAATAGGATAGGTGTATGAGGACAAATTTCTTACAGACCTTTGATGTGTCTGAGCAAAATAAAAATCAGATGTATATGTATCAGCTAAAACTTATTCATGATTTACTTCCCTCCAATTTATTGACTTAATTTCTTCATACATTTATATGCAAGTTTTATTTATTCTTATCAGTTGTATTATAAGCAGAGATAGAAAATGATCAATTGTATTATTTATGGAATAATATCACAACTAAAAGTATTATTTGTATATTATGGTATTACATCAATGTATTCTTTGTACTGATAATGATTTCTGTTTTCATCACTTGAGAACTTTTCTTTTCTCTGACTGTCATCATGAGATGTAAGAGAAAGGGCTCTCGGTGACATACTTATTGTCCCAAACTAGATATTTAACTTTTTTATATTTCTGTTTCTTTTGTTTACTTATTTTGCAATTTCTTTTGCTACCACAAGTTGTGTATAGGCAATGTTTGAGTTGTTTCTTGTTGTGGATTTGTTTTTATTGCTGTGCTGCACACACATTTTTCAACATCAGATATAGTCATCTCCTCCTTGAGTTACCATTTCTATAATTTGTAACACATTTTTTGTCGTTGCCCAACTTGCCGCTTTTTATAAATGTAAGAACGCAAAATCAAGAGCTAGTCAGACGTCACCGATAATGATAACTTTAATGATATGTCATTCCAAAGTTGCTACCCTTTTGTTTATATAAAGTGGAAAACGAGTAGGAAATTGTTATTGATTGTGCATTG